AAGAGGGCTTGTCGGATATGGGTGATTCTGTGGTTGCTATTCGTAATGCTGTTAAGTATGTGAGATCATCTGATTCAAGACTGCAAGCATTCAAAAGTCGAGTTGGGAGTAACAATTTTAGTAGAGGAAATGTTGTTTTGGATTGTACGACACGTTGGAATTCAACGTTTCTGATATTATCTTCAGCTTTGAAGTATAAGGAAGCATTCAAACGAATGGAAATGGAAGATAAACTTTATGAAGACTATTTTGGCGAAGATGATGAAGCTAGAATTGGGAAGAAAAGGATTGGTCCTCCTTCAGAAAATGATTGGGAAAATGCGCGTCGATTGATACATTTTTTGAAGATTTTCTATGAATCGACATTGGCATTTTCGGCAACAACAAAGGTTACTTCTAGTAGTTGTTACAATGAGATCATAAAGGTTGAATCGGTTCTATCATCGTTGGTGAACACTCCCGATCACGAAATGAGCAAGATGGCAAAGAGCATGAAATTCAAGTTTGACAAGTATTGGGAGGGAACATAAAAGATCAATAAGTTATTGATTGTTGCATCAGTGTTTGATCCGAGAAGTAAGATGAGCTTTGTAACCCATTGTTTTGACAAGATGTATGGGAAAGACAGTGTTAAAAGTGTTGAGATGAAGAATAATGTTCTTGTTGTGATGCATAGATTGTTTGACTCCTATTATGAGTGGTATAGTTATAAAACACCAAATAGAAAAGGGGAGGAGGAAGTAATAAAAAGTCATCAGAATTGTCAAGACATGATGTTGATATCGACATGATTTTTGGACAAGATGATGATCCGTTTGCTTCATTTAGTCAAATGATGATGGATAAAGGAGTTGTTGAGGACTCACCGAATGAGTTGGATATTTATTTGATAGAAAAAGTTGAAGTGGTGAAACCTAATAATTTAGGTTTGAAGTTTGATGTTTTGTCATGGTGGAAGATGACTAATAGTAAATTTCCAATCTTAGCGGAAATGGCGAGAGATTTATTAGCATTTCTGGTCTCTACTGTTTCATCGGAGTCCGCGTTTAGTACAGGTGGTCGTATTCTAGACCAATGTCGCAGTTGTTTAACTCCTGATATGGTTGAGGCATTGATTCTTGGGCAAAATTGGTTGATGTTTCCACTTGTTTCTGATGAAAAGCGTAACTTCGGTGATATGATCGCTGAAGATGACTTTATGTTTGCATTGGCTGAAGGTATTTGTTTAATATTGTTAATTTATTTTATAAAAATATTATCACTAATATATGATTTTATAACCTAATGATTGTTCTTTATTTGTATATAATTTCGGAAATCATCGGGACAAAGTGATTTGGTATTGGGTAGGAAGATGAAGATGAAGTCGATTATGGTACTTTTTTTTATATTGAAAGTAGTTTTATATTTATTATAATAAATTTTAAGTGTTTAATCAATATTCTATTATTTTTAAGGTTGACGATATGAAGATTTGATCGTGAGAAGATTTAGCTATGGAGTTTTTGTATTTGGATTTTTATTATATCAAAGGATGATATGAATGAAGATTTTGTTGTTTTTTATATTAAGAGGATTAGGATATGTTTTTTTATATTATATGATTGTTCTTATGAATGAGTTGAAACATATTTTTAATATTATAACCGAACCGAACCTTTGTTTGGGTATATTTTGGTTATTATTTTGAATAGGTAAAACCCGACCGAATCGAACCGAACCGAATAAAATTATATAACCGTTTGGTTATGAATTTTTATAACCCGAATTAACCGAACCCGAATTAACCGTGACCGAATAACCCGAACCGAACCGTTCGCCCACCCCTAATTCATCGTATCCAGATTATGTTCCACTTGGTTTAACCAGTAAACTAAGAATTTTGATTTAATAATTAAAAAAATCGTCACTAAATTCTTTTTTTTTTTGTCAAACCGTACTTGTACACGGTGAGCGAGAGATTGGGAAAATAGTTTTCTGTATATTGCATTATGTGATTTACAAGACATATATACACGCATGAGGAGATGATTGAAGAAACAAATACAGCAAAGAATCAGGGATTGATACTAAAAATAATAACAATATTATTTCCTTCCTTTACGCCCCCGCAAGATGAGGATCGTGTGCGAGACCAATCTTGACCCGCAACAAGTCAAACCGAGCTCGGGGTAGAGGCTTTGTGAGAGTGTCAGCGAGTTGATCAACCGAGGAGATATGAGACACGCGGAGATGACCATCACGAACAAGACCACGGATGAAGTGATAGTCAATCGCGACATGCTTCATACGAGAATGAAAAACAGGATTAGCACATAGGTACGTCGCACCGACATTTTCACAGAAGTTTACCGGCGAGGATGAAGGTGTGATTCCAAGCTCGGAGAAAAGAGATGAAAGCCAGCGAATTTCGGAGGCCGTTGATGCAACAGATTTGTATTCGGCTTCTGTGGATGATCTAGCCGCAGTTCTTTGCTTCTTCGAAGACCAAGAGATCGGGTGTTTGCCGTAGTACACAATGTGGGCACTTGTGGACGTATAATCATCCCGATTTCCACCCCAATCTGCGTCGGAACAGGCATGTAACGTGGGAGAGTTCTGGGAAGTCAAGAATAGGCCGAGAGAAGAGGAGCCGACGAGGTACCGTAATACTCTCTTGACCCCTTGCCAATGGTCCGTTGTTGGTTTGTGCATGAACTGAGACAGCTTGTTGACGGCGAATGCGATGTAGGGTCTTGTGAAATGAAGATATTGCAAGCTCCCGACAATGTTGCGGTACTCGGTTGGGTCATCAAGAGGCTGCCCCGACGTCAAAGTGAGAGACGTGGTCGACGACATCGGAGTGGAGACCGGTTTGGAGTGGAACATGTTGGTCCGCTTTAGGAGATCAATTATGTATCGGCGTTGTGTAAGATAGATACCATCGGTTGAGTGTGACACTTCGACTCCGAGGAAGAAGGAGAGGCGGCCAAGGTCTTTGATCGAGAAGCGACTGCCGAGCATGGTAATGATGTCTTGACATCGGACGGCATTGTTTCCGGTGATGACAATATCATCAACGTAGACAAGAAGATATATAACGACGTCAGCATCCCGGAGAACAAACAGCGACGTGTCGGCCAGGGAATTGACAAATCCCGTGGCAACGAGAAAATTCCGAAGCTCCGTGTACCATGCCCGGGGTGCTTGCTTGAGCCCATAGATAGCTTTGTGTAGCTTGCACACATGCGATGGTCGATCACAATCAACATAACCGGGAGGTTGGGTCATGTAGACATCTTCACTGAGGTGGCCTTGGAGGAAGGCGTTGTTAACGTCAAGTTGTCGTAGAGACCATCCACGAGTGACAGCAAGGCTGAGGATGAGACGTACAGTTGCCGGTTTCACTACCGGACTGAATGTGTCGTGATAATCTACACCGGGTCGTTGAGAGGACGATGTTATAAGAGGCATCAAATTCCTCCGTCATGGTGGAACCATGAGACGTACATCCCACAATGTTATAAGAGGCATCTGGTGGAACCAAAATCCAAGTCCCGTTTTTCACAAGAGCATCAAATTCCTCCGTCATGGCTTGTCTCCAACGTGGTGATTTGAGAGCTTGAGTGACACACGTGGGTTCGGTATCATCACTTGATTTGGAAGTTAAGGTATTTATGTATTTGGTATTTGGTTTGGTGATTTGATTTTTGGAACGGGTGGTCATCGGGTGGCTGTGTTTTGGTGGAGACGGAGGCGGATTTGAGGGTGGTGTGTCGATGGTTTCGGTGATGGTGGGTTCTGGGGTGTTCGGGATGTGAGTGGCGTCGGTTGTTGATGTAGGGAGATGGTTTGGCGAGGGAACGGGTGACGGTGGTGGCGGCGTGGGATAGGGTGACTGTGATTGAGAAGAGGTGGCCGAGAGTGGTGTCGGTAGAGGAGCTGCAGACGAGGTCACGGCAGCGGGAGATGGTGCTATGAGTGGACCAACTGGAACTAGTGTATGAGATGGTGACATAGATTGTGTGGGTTCGACTGAAGCGTTTGAGTCCAAGAGAGGTACCGAGAGAGAGGAGAACGGAAATCTGGACTCGACAAAGGTGACATGGCGAGACACAAAGACACGAGATGTTCGTGGGTTTAGACATAGAAAGGCATGTTGAGTCAAAGAGTAACCCACGAAAACACAAGACAATGACCGAGGTTCGAGTTTATGGTGAGAATATGGCCGAAGCCATGGAAAGCATAGACAACCAAATGTTCTTAATGTGGTATATGTCGGTGACGATCCAAACAAGGCTTGGTAGGGAGATTGATGTTCTAGGACTTTGGTTGGAAGACGGTTTATGAGATAAACGGCTGTCGGAAACGCAAACGTCCAATGGGATAACGGCATGGATGCATGGGTGAGGAGGGTTAATCCCGTTTCCATAATGTGCCGGTGTTTACGTTCCGAAATTCCGTTATGCTCGGGGGTATGAGGAGGAGTGGTGAGGTGTTGAATGCCGTGTTCCGAAAGAAAAGATCTTAGGGCAATATACTCGCCACCATTGTCGGAATAAAGAGTTTGAACACGATGGTGAAAACGGTTTTCAACGAGGGATTTAAACCGAGGAAAAATTTCAAGAACTTGAGATTTTCGTTGTAATGGGTAAAACCATGTGTATCTCGTAAAATGGTCGACAAATATGACATAGTATTTGAAACCATCAAAAGAAGAAACGGGAGACGTCCAAATATCCGAAAATATGATTTCTAAAGGACGAGATGATGTAAGTGAAGACTCCGAAAAAGGATGTTTATGAGTTTTATTCATGGAACACGGCGTACACTGAAGGTGTTTGTGTTTATTAGAAGACAAAGGCAAAGAAAATTGATGAATGACCTTACTAAGAACATCGAAAGAGGGATGGTCAAGCCTAGAATGCCAATCCGCAGAAGTGGTCTTAATAGTAGAAAAAACGGAAAAGGACGAAGAGGACACAGAACTAGGGTCGGGAGGCCACTCATAGACGCCATCCTTAAGCATTCCCGTGGTGAGCCGCTCCCCCGTTGCGAGATCCTTTACCTGAAAGTGAAAAGGGTAAAATTCAACGGAAACACGATTAGTGGTGCAAAGTTGATGGACAGATATGAGGTTTCGACGTAATGAAGGGACACATAATATATTAGTGAGTGATAAAGGACGAGAGGTTGAGGAGAATGATAAGGAACCCGTGTGTGTGATCGGATGGGAGGATCCGTCACCAAGCTCTACTTCGTCACCACCGGAGTACGGCTCATGGAGGGAGATATTGTGCAAGTCTGATGTGATATGATGCGATGCCCCCGAGTCAAGAAGCCAAGTCGGAGACGAAGGTGCAACAGCAACACTCGTGTGATGAGCACGCGGCTGCCATGATGCCGGCGGGTTCGGCGGTCCGATCGGAGCAGCAGCAGGGGAGCGAAAGAGATGGCATCGCTTGGCACTGTGGCCTTGTGTCCCGCATAGCTAACATTTTCCGAGATAGGGCTTACCGAGCGGAGATTTATAACCTGTCACAGATTCATGATTGAGAAGTCGTTCGTGAAGCTCCACAAACGAGATTGGTAGATCTCGGGCATTTACAGCATCTTTGACAGCACGGTATTCTTCACCGAGGTCGGCGATGACAAGATCGATTAGATCTTCATGATCTAATGGCTTTCCGAGGAGAGCTAGCTCATCTCCCTTTGTCTTGAAGAAGTGCATGAACTCATCGATTGATTTGCCGCCTTTGGAGAATCGTTTCATTTGATCCTTGAGTTGCTTGATATGTCCCCGACTGGATCTGCCGTATGTGGACGCTAGTATTGTCCATGCTTCACTTGTGGTTGTCGCCCTTACAATGAGAGCTTGACAGGAGACAGAGATCGAGCCAAGAAGGGCTGAGAATAGCAGCTTGTCTTGACGAAACCAAGACGTGTACGCCGGGTTGGGGTTGATCACGTTGTCGACGGTGATCGTCGGCGAGACAGTGCTGTTGGCGTCTAGGAATGATTCAAGGTTGTATCCTTGAAGGAGTGATCGAACTTGGAGGCTCCAGGTGATGTAGTTGGCAGCGGAAAGCTTGGAGACGTTCGTCACGTTGATATTGATCAACGAAGACGCCGTGTTGTCGGGATCGTATGGTCGAACGGTGTCGGTTGCAGCGGCATCAGTGGGGGCAGCGACATTGGGATCGGTTGCTGTCGGAGCAGCAGGGTGAATGCCAGCGGAGGATGTGCCGTCGGAGGACATGTCCGATTAGGTTCTCTGGAAATCAGGGATTTGGAAAAAAAAAAAAAAGAGATAGGATGTTGTCGTTAAACCAAGGCGTCTGATACCATGAGCGAGAGATTGGGAAAATAGTTTTCTGTATATTGCATTATGTGATTTACAAGACATATATACACGCATGAGGAGATGATTGAAGAAACAAATACAGCAAAGAATCAGGGATTGATACTAAAAATAATAACAATATTATTTCCTTCCTTTACACGGGAAGTGCTCATCTTGGCAACTTGAGGTTACATTTACCATCACTATATTGCTGTTTAGACTTCAAATTTGTAGATAGCATTTGATATTACACTTTTGTATTTATAGATTACCTCCAATTCCAAACATATCAGTCGATATAATCGTTGTTTTCTCAAATGGAATATGGTAAAAATAGATTTTTTTTTCTTCCAATTTTCATTTGGATGTTTTCTCATTGTTCTCTTTTTTTTTAATCCTTGAAGATTATAACTTTGACAGTGATATTTCCATTTTAAGAAAATTTTAAAATCCCTTGAGTTCAATATTCACGTGAAAATTTTACAAACTACAAAATTATGATATTAAAGATGTTATCTTAAACAAAATAACGGATGAGAGGACAAAAAAAAAAATCTCACATTAGAGAGGGTCCAAATGTACCTAGTAGACTAAAGGGGAAGTTTAGTTTTTGGATTAGAAATTATTTATTTTGAATGATGTTTAAAAACTGTACAATTCTTTTGTTATTTATGAAATCTTGTAATAGTCACTTTTTTCTGTGTAATTCATATTTTTCTACACGTTACGGTTTCAAAATAGTTTTCCGTTCTAATTTGGTTTTAAAGTTTTATAATTTTGTGTAATGGTATACAATGTTCTGTATCGTTTTTATATAAATAAATCTTCTTTATTTTTTAAAAATATTTTTAAACTTTAACTATCTATAGATTCAAATAAATTTCTTTATTTACAAATTATATATATATTAGTTCATTCATTTTGAAACTAAATTTGGAATTTATTTATAATAGTAAATTGATATTGTAAATAGAATTTAAATTGAATTGAAAAATAGATATACAATTAAATAGAAAGGAAAAAACAAATGCAGATCTACAATTTACACTTTTTGCAACCATCGTAGGGAAACGCCCCACCAAACCAGCAACATTCAGATCATATCTAACACGTTTATTATTGCTGCATCACCAACCTAGCGTTATTCTCACAATTTTAAATATTCCGAGAAAATATCATAAAAAGTTATAAACATATCGAAATCAAAATCTATAAGCTATGAAATTCCATAATCAATAATAAGTGTACATTTCGAATTTGATTTAGTTATTTTCATTTAGTTTTCATTGATATAAAAAATATTTATTTTCTAAAAAGATTTCGATTCCGATTTTATTCTAAATTCCTTTGGTACAGTTATACTACGTTGATTAAATTTAAATCGAGTATAAATTTCATACCTACCAAATCAGTATACAATAAATAAACAAGAAAATCTTTATCATTATGTGATGGGCCCCACACATATCTTTGTCCGACCATCCATCACCACTCATCCATATGCTTGCGTTATATACACACGCACTCCTACTGAACAAGCCTCACTCATCTGATTCATCAAACCCCCAAAAACCTTTCCATCGTTTCCCATGGAACCCGACAAAACCCTAAACGACACGACCGCGACAGCAACCGTGACCGACACGGCACCTACGGAGTTCGAGAAGAACCAGAAGAGGTACCAAGACACCATCGCCAAGCTCCATCACCAGAAAGGATGGAGACCCAAGGAGAATCTGATCGAGTTCGGCGGTTTCTGGTGGCAGCAACACCTTCTCGAAGGCTTACTTCACGCCCAAGAAAACTTCAAGGCGCGTCCCGAAGATTTCCTCGTCTGCATCTTCCCCAAAACCGGAACTACTTGGCTTAAAGCCCTAACTTACGCCATCGAACTCATCGATTTATTTGCCGCCTTTGGAGAATCGTTTCATTTGATCCTTGAGTTGCTTGACCGCTCTCGTTACGACGATTCCTCCAATCCTCTCCTCAAACGTAACCCTCACGAGTTTGTCCCTTACGTTGAGATCGATTTCCCCTTTTTCCCCCAAGTCGATGTGATCAAAGACAAAGGAAACACGCTCTTCGCGACCCATATTCCTTACGGTTTGTTACCCGAGTCGATCACTAACTCGGGTTGCAAGATGGTTTACATATGGAGAGACCCTAAAGACACTTTCACTTCCATGTGGACGTTCCTCCACAAGGAGAGGTCACAAGATGGTCCGGTCGCTGATCTTGACGAGGCTTTTGATTTGTATTGCAAGGGCATGTCGATGTACGGTCCTTATCTTGACCATGTTTTAGGGTATTGGAAGGCGTACGAAGAGAATCCGAAGAGGATTATGTTCCTTAAATACGAAGAAATGAGGGCGAACCCTGTGCCTTACGTGAAGAGATTGGCCGAGTTCATGGGGTATGGATTCACGGCAGATGAAGAGGAGAATACGGTCGTGGAGAAAGTGGTGAATCTGTGCAGTTTCGAGACTTTGAAGAACCTGGAGGCGAACAAAGGGGAGAAAGATAGAGAGGATCGCCCGGCTGTTTACGCGAACAGCGCCTATTTCAGGAAGGCGAAAGTCGGGGATTGGCAGAATTATCTGACTCCCGAGATGGCGGCAAGGATCGATGGCTTGATGGAGGATAAGTTCAAAGGCACTGGTTTGCTTCAGCACGACAAATGATTTGTTTCTTGTTGCCCAAGAAACCGATTCTACATCCGATTACTCTGTTTTTAGTTTGATTTTGTATGTTTCGTATCGGAATAAATCATATGAGCAAAACTTTTAAATTCATGACCATTTATGCCGAAATTTGTAATTTGGAAGTATGATTGCATGCATGTGTTTCCAAATTCAGATTCTCTATCCCAAATCTGAATCCAAACCCTCAGTTTCCTGTCTTTGAAAATTGGAACTTTTAGAACTGAAAAATGTCTGGACGTGAGGAGTTTAAGAATCCAATCGGCCAAAACTCGGTTCCGATGGAATCTTAGAATGCGACGAGCCGACGACAGGTCGAAAAGAGTAGATACAGAGTTCGAGGAGAAATTATAATGGAAAAAAAATTAATTTTCTATACCTTAGAATGATAACGTGGAAACCCTATCTACTACTTTTTGGACGCATTCGTTAGGTAAATCTTCGTCCCACCGCACGAGCCGTGCGACACACGATGGGATGTGAATCCACCGTATATTTTTACAAACTTATTATTTTGTTACAAGTCACAAATGTTTGTGCGGCGCTAAAAATACAGGGCTATTTTTTAAAAAATTCAACAATTTTAGAGTTTTTTTTAATAAAAAATTTAGCCTTTAAAAAAGTTACAAATTGTAATTTAATATGCAACTTTTATCAATTTTATTGTTTACCATAATTTTTCTTCTTCTAGACAAGAATTGAATTTGAACCAAAATCAAACCTAACGTCAACCCCGGTTTTTTTTCAAACAAATATCCAAAACCCTTATTTTTATTCAGAGTTTTCATCAATCGTGAAAATTTTGGACTACACCGGAGGAAAGAATCCCCAAGAATTTTGCCGAAGGAATCTTAAATCATAAAGAGAAAAAAAAAACCCACGACGAAGGGTTATAAAAAAAACCCAGTAGCATGAAACAAAAATCCCCGAGGAAACGGTTTTGAGTCAGCAGAGAATCAAATGTTTTGCTGTTTTTTCCACTCTTTTCCCTTTATGTTCCATTGAAGAAAGTGTGTTGCAGTGAAGAAGATATAAGTTACTTGGATCTATAACAAGCTCTCTCCGCCGCTCGAACAATGTCCTCAACCTGCACCAAAACGCTCGCTCACGTAAAGCCCTTATCCACTCAACCCCGCTCCCGTGTTTTACCATTTGAATTGCTTAATCGCTTACTAGTTGTATTAAACTGATTAAAGAGTCCATTAGTCTCGGGTTTTCTAATCGACGAAAACTCGATTTCTGGGAGCCAAAGACCCACCTGTGGTACCGCCATTCTCTCAAGATTTGCAGCGTAAGGCATGGGGACGTCGGCTCCTGCAATCCTCTCGATCGGTGCGTCCAAATACCCGAAACTCTCTTCAACAACCGATGCACTGACCAAAGATGACAACAACATATTATACATCATATGATTGAGTAGGGAGAATAAGTAACAGAAGCGTCGAGATAAGAGCCAAACAAAAAAAGATGGGGCGAGGGAGAAGAAATGGGTTTTCACCAGATTTCTGCACCGACGCCGTGTTGAGGGAAACCTTCTTCTACTGTAACCAGTCTATTAGTTTTCCTTACAGAAGCATTGATGGTGGCTCTGTCGAGGGGACGGATCGAGCGGAGATTTATAACCTGAGGTGATAAGACGAAAAGAGAACTTTCTTTTTACAATAAGTTCACAGTTCATAGATCATTCAGCAAATGCAAAGTGATGGAATTTTTGCATACCTCGGCACTTATTCCCTCTTTTGATAGCATCTCAGCTGCCTAATAGGTTGTATCAGGGAATAGTATCAGAAACAAAATAGAAAACCAGAGTATGAAATTGTAAAGGATAAGTAAAGCATGCATACAAAGCAGTATCTAGGCCAAATCCATGACTCTTGAGCTGTATACCGCAAAGTTACCCCCGAAGGCAGATAATTGAATTCAATAAGAAAACAGCAATGATTCCCCAGTTTTGTTATTAAAACACTGATAAGAAAGGTACAGGCGTACAGCGATCGTTGAGTAAACACAAACCTTGAGGGCATGACCAACCATCTTCGAGAAAGCGGTAATTGTTACGTCCTTTCCTTCTCGTTCAATCTATGATAGCCCAAGGCAGAGTAAAGCATCTGACTTCTCACTAGAAGAGAACCAAAAAAAACAAAGAAAAATTGAGAAGGAAGTTTATAGTGATGGTACCTTGGCTTTGCCTATGGGAAGACAAAAACTTGAATCAAGGGCTTCTTCTGAAACAGGAAATGATTCACCATATCTGCAACACAGAATTGACAGAAAGATAAAACAAACGAATGGGAAACGCTTTTAATAACATGGAAAAGAGAATATCAGATGGTAGATTATTGCAAATCAAAATTAGGTATACTACTTACAGTAGCTCGTTTTCAAGGAAGACAACAGGATCCGGATCTCTAATGGCAGCTTTAAGAAGGCCACGGGTATCTTCAGATGAATATGGAGAAAGAACCTTTAACCCAGGACATGAAGCATACCAGGCCGCATAACACTGTAAAAGGTAGAAAATCAGATTATTTCCTATAAACATCTAGAGATTCAGGTAAGAGATCATATCCATAAACACATCATTTATGAACGCCAAAGTTGACCATGTTAGCCATGCAATACACATCCCAAAGTCAACATCGAGATGGACTTTCTCATAGTGGCCTTGTATGCATTACCAAACTTAATACAGAAATAGTTAGGTGTCTCTGCAAAGAACCTCAATCAGAATGTGACAGTGGGGTAACTGATTCATGGGGTAACTGATTCAATGTTAAAGCCGAAGGCAGTTCCTTGATCGTTTCATTGAAATGCCATTATCAGTTTCAGAGAACTAGAAGGTAGCATTCAAAATAAGGAGTTAAGGAGTAAGTTTAGTATGAATATTTGCCTGGGAATGCTGAGCCCCGACACCAGCAGCGGCACCGTTGGGTCCTCTGAAAACAATGGGTACAGATATCTGCCCAGCAGACATATAATTCGACTTTGCAGCGGAATTGATTATATGATCAATTGCCTGAAAGATGTCCAACAGAGATGTTAAAACATGCATAAATAATAATCAAGGAAAAGTCAAATGTACTTTAATGTATCAGGAAATATATTTGCAACAGAGTTTGAGATCTAAAACACAGTAATGATTTATAAACATGTCAATTTGTTAAAGCAAGAAGCAGATGTGGTATTCCAAATCTCAAATCAAACAAATCTAACCTGCATGGAGAAGTTAAATGTCATAAATTCTACTACAGGCTTTAAGCCATAGTAGGCAGCGCCAACTCCAATCCCAGCAAAACCAGCCTAGAAAGTGAAAAAGTTGACTGTCAGAATTCAGAAACATTCCCAACCTCAGCAAAAACCGAATCAGAGGATTGCAATTGCACTGGATACAAATAGTATAGACAGCCTGACCTCGGTGATAGGCGTATCACGAACTCTCTCGGGACCGTATTTTTCCAAAAGCCCTTTAGTAATCTAATCCAAATAAATACATAATAGGCCTCCAGCATAAGAGACCAGGACTGAAACAAGATAAAATCAATATAAATATTTTTCAGCTGGTTGGCAAATTGCTAACCTTATATGCACCTTGGTATTGACCAACCTACAAAAAGGATGTAAAGATGAAATATTAGTACCATAAAATAGGTAGATCAATATATTATAAATATTTTCTTCATCTTATTCTTACCTCTTCACCCATGATGAACACTTTAGGATCTGCCGACATTTCTTCGTCAATAGCAGAATTTAGAGCATCTCTGACAGTCATCTATACAAACATATTGAGAACAAAAACTTCAGCTACAGTATAATATTCTGAGAAATTCCTAAATCCTAATTCACCGAAAAAGCTTTCATCATTCAACTGGATTGACAAAAGCAGGAATGAAACAAGTTGTATTCTAAAAGTATGCCATGAGTGCAACATATGGCAGTAGCATTTCTCGGACTAAACCAAGCAAATTGCCAAAATGTGCGAAAACTCCTAGTTCAACATTTTCACTGACAGAACCCATGAGAAACTGACTAAGAGGCCTTAACATCTGCTCCATGACAATGTATCACTGCATCTAATGACATCCATTTTCCGCATGCACCCATTTACTAAGCCATTGCAAATTCCCATGATTGTTTGATTTGTTAAATAACTATAGCTTCAGAAGGCAACCCCCAAACATCGTCCCAAAAGAAAAAGGACAGATGAGATTCACCGCAATTCAAAAGAGGCACAAATCAATGAAACCATCATTTCTTTTCATCTGGAACATCTAAAATTATCCTACGAAGCAAATAAACAAGTGAAAAACATAGGCTCCCTGAAAGAGGAACCGTATCCGTGAAGCACAAAAATCATAAGGCAGCTAAATCCGGTAAACACATTACCTCTTTCACAGCTGCGGCATAGCTTCTCGAGGAAACCAACGCGGATCGCACCCTTCTGAGAGCCTGGTCAAAATCCATATCGGAACAATCACAATCACACAATTCGATCAATATAAACTCAAATCCAATAACTCCAATAACAATCGACTAAAAAAAAGACATATGGACATAACAAAAGGGCAAAGCCTCGTACCGAAGCAGACAAGCCTCCATCGACGACGCTACGCCTCGAAATTCCCCACATTCTTTTCCACCCAACGATCAATATCAATATCAGATAACCAGATCTAACAACAGTGACATATTCAAAACGGAATCATTTAGCGGACAACAAAACGGAGACAAAGACGAGGAAAATGAAACAGGGAAAAACAAAAGAAACGGAGATAGAGAGGTAGACCAGAGCCCCGACGATCTGCCGCGGCGGGGGAAGACGGCGGCAGGCAACGCAACGGCAGCGGAGGAGGAGGAGGAGAGAGAGGGGCGACTCAAAGCCTGAACGAAAGGACAACTTTGAACCAGGAGAAAAATGAAAAACTTGAATTAGGTGTCACTGGGTAGGTCTACGTGGTCAAGCGACAACAGCCGTCCGATTGATATGATTTAATTACGATGAACGCTCAATATTTCGTAGTTTTATTTATTTATTTATTTTGTCTCAGTTTGTATTTGAATATTATGAATTGAAGAGGCAAATTCGTTATATTTTATTGCACAAGTTGATATGAAAATGATAGGATGTTGTTGTACCGATTATTATAGTAATTTATTTTTCTAGTGAAACAAAATGTTCTAAAGTGAATGAAATATTGATGTCATATTTTGTATAAATTAAATCTTATCATTTGATAAAAAATATTTTATATAATTTATAAAATAATATTTTAAAATCAATTTAATTTACTTTTAATTAAAAAATAATTTTATCACAAAAATATTAAAAATAATTTTTGATAAATCTAAAAATTATATAATCATGTGATAATATTATATTTTTTACTAGCACATACTATCATAAGGCAAAATATTAAAATATATATATATATATATATATATTTGAATTGTCTAATTTTGGTTTTAATCATCAGTTTATGAAATTTTCCCCCGAAAAGCACACAATCACGACAAAAAACGAAGAATCTCGATCTAAGGGCTCAGGAAAAGAATTATTTATGCATCAGCGAGCAAAGAATCTCTCATAGTTTGATGGTCTTCTTGCAAAATCATCTCAACCCCAAACAATTTATACCAAAAAATTTGCAGAAACAACAAAACTAACCAATTACAAGACCAATCTTTCGATGGAACCGATGAAAACCAACGGAGTAAGATCGGGGATTGCAGAAGGACATCAAATGAGGAAAATGACCCAGATGAAGAAAATGGTGGAGAACCTCTGTTATTGAACAAAGGTACTCGAAAACCGCGAATAAATAGATAAAAGAACCCAAAACCGAGCATCCAATATCCCTTCCCTTTCAATAACCAATGAAATGTTTCTGCAAACATTCCCAGGAAAAGCCATTGCTCCACGGACAAGACTCAGCAGCGATTTACAGGGCGTTCCTAAACTAACCAATTACAAGACCAATCTTTCGATGGAACCTTCTACTGAGAATAATATATACAAAATCTGGAAGAAAAAACAAAAGGGGAAAAGGGATAAAACAAAACAGAGATACACTTAGAAATGACGAAGATAACAAGCTCCGGTGAGCTTCGACGAGCTCCGGCGATCTGAGGCGGAGAAAGAAGCCCTAATCGACCGAGATCCGAATACAGAGCTTACCCTGAAATCAAGCCTCTAAGTTCGATGTGAGAGAGAGCGTAGAAGAACTTAGGGTTTCTTTTTAATTTTTAATAAGGATATTTTGGTCTTTTGACTAAAACGCAATCAACCGCCGCCGAAACGCAAACAAAAAGCGGCGTTTTGATTCTTCAAGTTTTGTTACGGTTGCGTTTTTTGGCAGTTTAACCAATTAGTTTTTTAACCGTCTGCCAGAAATCGCAACTATTCCGTTTGCGGTTGGTAGCGGTAGAACCAGTCATACCTAAAGAAACACTTAAAAACAATCAAATCCTAATTGTGTCCAAAACTACGTATTTTCTTAAAACTCATAAAAGTGATTTAGGTCTCTTGTTAGATGTAGCACGATTTGTGTCAAATCTATGATAAAATGGCATAGTCGGGATTAGAACCGAAATGGTCCGTATCAAATCTATGAACACAAAAGCCAAAACAAATTGAGAATATATCAATAATTTCCTTAATATACTATTTCTACTTTACAGCATACCTTAGTAATCTTTTTTTTTTAACTACAATATTCAAAAGACAAAAATATTCTGTAAATTAAATATAAAGACCAAGTTATCCTTGTATTTAAATTTTTTTAAAAAAAAGAAAAGGAAATAAATTTTTATTTTTTGTAAAAGAAACGTTTCTCTCTCATAACTTTGTTCTCTCTCCCCGATTTCTCAGACCTCCCTTCTCTCTCTCCGATTTCAAAACTCTCTCTCTATCTCTTGCAATTTCGATTGCGATTTTTCCAGCAAATCATACACCGATTGCTTCACAATCATTTGTACCCATGTTTTACCTCTTTCTTCATCTCTAGCTTCGTCTTTGATTTTATACTCGTCGGAGAATGATCTACAAGAACAAACGGTAAGTTTCGCTACTATACAGATATGTCTTCATCTTCTTCTCCGTCTTCTTCTTCTGTGACCCTCGTCTTGGATTTACGATCATTGGAGTAACTTGTAGTTTGAGTATTTCGAAATAGAAAGTTAGGGTTTTGGGGTTTGAAAATAGATTGGCAAGTAAAGCTATTTTGAAAGTTAGGGTTTCTTTCAAGTAATTGATTGGCAAGTTTTATGGGTCACAATGAATCACATGGGCCAGTTTAGATCATATTTAGTCATAATTAGTCATTTGGATGCATTGAGTCATATGGATAAGACGCGAGCATTTTGAGTAATAATGATTTTTATTATTCAGTCATGGATTACAAGATCATGAGAGTCACAGGTTCATACAGTCACAAAATAATATAGGTTAGAGAAGTCATAGGGTCACGCTAGTCACAGGGTCACACTAGACACAGAGTCACAAGGTCACAGGTCTCAAATACTACTTCACCAGAAAACTTCCAGTTAGAGAGTCAAGTAAATCGTTAACCAAGTATGATGTAATTGTAACTATTGTGAATATTCCTTCACTCGTAGACCCCAAGATAGTTTGTCATTGGGTTACGATTAAAGTGGATCTTGGAACAAAAGATTGAAGTATATGACTGACAAACGAGACTGCAGGAGAATGTAGATCGAGCTATTCAAAAGCTAGTTCGTCTCATATCGAGTCTTTGTTGGGTCACAGGGTCATAATAAAAGAATTTATGCAAACTGATATGCGACGGGAACATACCACAGATTTGTGAGCAAATAGTTGTCGATATATTTGTTAATAGATAAATTATCGTGTTTCAAGGTTTAAAAGGACGTTAAATATAATTGTTTTTCATATGAAACAATAGTTTACATAGATGTAATGATTTTTATTAGTTTCTGAATGTTAATAATTTTTTATTAATATTATGATTTTTATTCTGGAGGGAATTAAAAAAGTGATTAATTTTATTTGAATATTTGGATGAATACGAAAATCTAAATTGAAAAGAAAAGAAATGAAAATATACGTCATGTGAGAAAAACAGACTTTCAAAGTGGCCCATAAAAAAATGGATATGGATATATTTTGTATTGGTATTATGTATTATTATTGTAAACTCGTTATTTAAATTGATTCTAATACTTATGAAATTTATTTAATAAATTTTATTATGACTGAGTCACGGGTCACACGGGCCACACAGTGAATTTTTATTTTTTTTATATTTTTAATTTCATGCAAATGAGAAAAAAAACATGTTCAAATTGTTTTTATATTTCGGCGGGAATCTGAAAAGTTATTCTCGGTGTGGATCCCCATGTTCCCTAATTTCTTGATTTTTTTCACCTCGTGGGCCCCGCATATTTCCAGAAAACAATATCGGATCACATGGATCACATGAGTCACATGGGTCACAATATTCGAATTTATCGAATTAATGACTATGAATGGATATACGATGGTTAATCATTAATTTTAACATCAATAACAACTTTAGAATCATTGTCGTTTCAAATTTCAAATGCAAATCACTAATAAAAATGTATTCCATAAGTGATACTAATGTTTTATGAACATTTTGGAACAATTTGTCCTAATGTTCAAACAACTCATAATTAAGTTAACGAATTTAACTTGTAAACACCATATTGTCATTAAAAACACCATATAAACTATCTTGAAGCTTTAAAAATGAGATTTGACCGTATATTTTTAGTGTGAATGAGTCACGGGTCACATGGATCATATGGGTCACATAGTGCAAAAATGTCTTCGGGTCACATGGGTCATATGAGAGTCACATGGGTCATACAATCTAAAACTGTTTCTGTCTCTCCAAGGTTTAAGCATGGTACTAGTGTAAAAAAAATCAGTCTTATTAAAGATCATGCTAATGTCTAGAAGTTATTTTACAAACATACCCGATAACTAAATGAAATCATACAAACAATTATTTAACAAATAACAACATCTTTATTTGTCCTTCTTTGATCACTTTGGTCGCAGTTCATCTGGGTCTGAAAACCAGTTTTATTTGGGTCTACCGATTTTCTTTTAATTTTCCACAATCGGAGGTAATACCATGAGGTTTGCATCACATATGTCGTCAATGATCCATTATACATGTAAAAAATAATTTACAAACCGAATGCCACGTCTCAATATCATTCATTGTGATTCTTGTGACCCATGTGACACTGTGACCCGTGTGACTCACTGTGACCCATGTGACTCACTATGACCCATGTGGTTCACTATGACCTGCGCGACTCTATGACCTATGTGACTGTGTGATCCATGTGACTCACTCTGACTCGAGTGACTCTATGACTCATGTGACTCACTGTGACCCGAGTGACTCTGAGACCCCATGTGACTCACTGTGACCTGAGTGACTCTGTGATCCATGTGACTCACTATGACACGTGTGACTCACAATGACCCATGTGACTTACTATGACCCGAGTGACTCTGTGACCCATGTGACTCAGTCCATAAGACTGAGAGAGTCAATAAGATATGCACATTAGACTCGGGTCACAGGTCACGCATGTCACAGGTCACATAGGTCACTTATGTGACCCTTATGAATGTCACGACTGTTATACATGTGACCCACTGTCACTCGTGCGACAGTTGTGATACAATGACCGAGTATGAATTCATGTGACTCATATGCCTAAATGTCTCATGTGAGTCGAAAGAAATTTCAAAACAACCCGTAACCCAGAACCCAGATCTAACGCTGCTTAATAATATACAATACAACATCCTATACATATTCTTTAAATCACACTAATTTCCCAACAAACCGTAGTGAACACCTCAAAAAATAGAAAAACCCTACCAGATTCATCAATATGCACAACAAAATATCAATATTTAGGTCGAAATTTATCTATTTGCATTATTCTATGTGATTACGCACTGATTTGGTATTTTTGAAGCAATTTCGTCCACTGTCGAAGAAAGATGAAGCTTATCGGAGGAGAGAGAAAAAAATCAGAGAAGAGATAAAACAAATTTTGGAGGAGATAAAAAAAACAAATCTCGGGAGAGAAAGAACGGAATTTGTAGGAGAGAGAAACAAAAGCTGTGTTTTGAAAAATTAAAGATTTTTTTAATTAATTAAAAAAGAGTAAAATGGGTATTATATATTTAGAGAGGTATATTTGAAATAGTTAAAAAAAAAATTGGAAGAGGGAATCCTCTAAAGTGCCAATAGCATTTTAAGGGCATTTCTGATAATAGTCTAAACAAATTGATAACATGTATTCTAATATAAGATTTTACACCAAATATCTAGTACGTTTTACCTGGTTTGAATATCCTTAAAAAAACTTTTTTTATATATTGGCGAATTGTCCAAGGTTTGAACTCGTGACCGAGTGGATGTTAATTTCCCTATTTTACCACTTGTTCTGTCCAGCTTGGACATCCTTAAGAAAACTTAGCATACGAGGGCATCTACAATATCACTTCATGGAATGGTATGGTAATCTCCAATTTCTTCAATAATGTTCGCAAAGCATTGAATTGACTCTCTCTTCATTATACTTCCTCAACCGAAATGGAAAAACAATGGGTGGTACCTTTAGTGGCGTTGAGACATAAACTGGATTATTTCTTATCTTTAGAACTCTGGGATGTCCCTTCTTCAACTATGTTCTTTCCTTTTTCTTCAGTTGTGTACGTTGTAGTCATTCCATCCTCTACCATCCTCACGACAACTTACGGAAGAGTTCTGCTGCTCGTAGCTCGAGGGCATTGCAGCATTCAAAAGGATTCGGTTCGAGTTTTTCTAGAAAGATACCTTGTATCCTTGAGGTTTGGGAAGCAAATTGTACAATATATTTAACATGTTTTTATATCCTTCTAAACGTGCATGTTTCTAGAGATTTTGAAGAGTTTATTAGTCTGGGAAAGGGATATTTAGTCTATGCGGGATTTGTTTTCTTCGTAATTCAAGAGACTCGTTATTCATCCAGTTTTGATTAATTTTATTTATTGCTTTCGGCCAACTTGATCACTTGTTTGACTAATTTTAGAATTGTATTAACAACGAGAGTTGATATTAGATTTGGAATGAATTCATAAGATGAATTGATTGAAACTATTGATGAGAGATAGGTTAATCGATTTAGTTATTGTGATAGTGAACGTTATAAAACTTAGATTTTTTGAACTAAACAATCGAGAGGCCGTAGGTTAAAAATCTGAGTAGCGAAATTAGACATCGAAAGAATCTATTCCTATATTAGAACTTGAATTAATCGAATTGGATACAAATATTGCATAATCTATTTATCTAAGAACAAACCTTACGTGCTAAAATGATATCAAAACCGTAATTTTCTTAGTTATTATTTTATCTATCGTTTTCATTGTTTTAAAATTATATTTTTTACAACCACTTATTTATCTCTTTATAATCTTGATTATACTATTACGTAGTTCTAATCGTGTGTTCGATCCTTATATTACAATCATCTGTATTCTTAGTAAATTTAAGTTCTATGTAAAATTTATATCTACCTCTACAAATCGACATGAGATTTATATATAATCAAGTGTTTAATAGACAATCATTTTATATATACATATATATATATATATATATATATATATATATATTTGGAAGACTAGCACCGGGTACGAAGTCAATCTGGTGCTCAATTCCTCGCAACGGTGGTAGACCACTCGATAACTCATCTAGAAAGTCATCCTCGTAATCCTATAACAACTTACAAACATCACTAGACAAGGAAGAGATTAGTTGGTCAGAAAATAAGGCCTCCTTATACATGAGTAAGACCATCGGCCGGTTCGAAAGCATAGCTTTCTTGATCTCTCTAGCTCTCGTGAAAAGAAGAGTGTTTGTTCTCTGGAGATTTCTCTCACGGGCTTTTTTCTGGAGTTTCTCAAGACTTCACCAAGTTTTAAGTGATCTACCTCACGGTCAGTCGTATTCGGAGCCTTTTCTCTTTTGAATAGTGTGACTTAATCTTCATATACCTCTTTCGGTGTGAGAGGTAATAATCGAAACTGCTTGCCCTTGTTTTCAAATGAATATCGGGTAGTGTAACTGTCATGTTTGGCTCGTCTATCAAACTGTCATGGACGCCCAAGTAGCAAATGTCCTGCTTGCATGGGTATTACATCACATAAAACTTCATCATCATAGTCACCAATAGAGAAAAGTACCTTCACTTACCGATGTACCTTTGTTTCTCCGCTATCGTTTAACCATTGTAGCTTGTATGACTTAGGATGTCGAGTGGTAAGCAATCTCAATTTTGTCACCATAGACTCACTTGCTATATTGGTGCAACATCCTTTATCAATTATCACACTATACAACTTCTCCTGAATAAACCCCCATGTGTAGAAGATATTTTCTCGTTGTTCGATAGCCTCCACTTTGGTTTGCAATTTCAATGCACGCCTTGCAACCAACCGATCACGATATATATATATATCATTGAAAACTTCAACTATATTTATGTATGATTAGTCACATATCATTTTATATTATAATTATTTATTTTATAATGTAATGTATTTACAAAGGATAATTTAATAAAAACTATAAAAAAATTATAAAACTTGCTTTTTATTTTGATATGTGGCTGAGTCAAAGTTTAAAACGAATGTTTTTAAAAATTATATATTTTTGTAGATATTTTAATAAAAATGAAAATTTATTTGAATTTATGTATAATTGAGGTTTTAAACGGATTTTTTTAATAACATATTGAAAATTTTGTTTGCGTGTTTTCCTCCTAATAATAACTTTAGCTATATATTTTGTAGATATTTTACTAAAAATGAAAATGTATCTCAACTTTTTTTGGTTTTAATTTATCGCAATTTAAGTATAATTGAGATTTTAAACGGATTATTTTAATAAAAAGATTACATTTTTTTTGCGTGTTTTTCTTCTAATAATAACTTTCGTTGTAAACCATCCAAATCTTTGTCTAAGTCCATCCACACTTTGGATTCGGCTAAGTCGCTAAGGCCATAACCAAATTAAACAGTTTTTTTTTCCTATTTGTGCGCAATCTTAATTTATATAAATGTCGATCTCCAAGTGGAAATTAAATCAAATAAACATCTTCATCAAATCCTAAATAAAAATTGGATAAATTTTCGGATAAACAAAAGCATGCCAGTGTCGGCTAATATTTTTGTTTTGGTCCAAAGGATATAGTTAGAATTTTAACTTAAAGTCTGTATGCCTGTGCAAGAAATATTTGTGTGTGTGTGTATTGATAGGGAGAATTACAAAGAATTATGTAGACATACAAAATTATGTCAAAACACTAATTAGATGTATTTACAAATATACTATCCTTACACTCAATACATACATCTGTCTTTAGCTCTTTAAATGCAGAGGTGAATCACACACATATATATACATATATATATATATATATATGTGCGTGTGTGTGGTCAATTGGTGGATGATTTCTCTTGCACAAGACGAGAATGGTGGTTTCCCATGCAGCCTCCTGCCGCCGCAGAGTAGCATGGCGACGCCACGTTGAATAGATACTTCTTCGGAGTCGCTGCTTTCGGCAACGGTATACTGAATCTTCTTCTCCCTTTCCGCCCATTTTTCGCTGTCTTGATGCTTTGATCCTTTCAATTTTCAACCAATATGAGAAAATCGTTAAGATCTTTACATTAAAAAAAAATCCCTATATTTATCAAAATAGGGTTTGAGCCAATGATGACGAAGAACTGATGGCATGTGAAAAGGGAACCGAATTATAAATGATTTTGATCGAGGAACAGATGTGTTAGAGATCAAAATGGACCGATTAGGTTAGACCATGGTAACGTCTATGTCGGAATTTTTATAAGTTATCATGGCTTAGAATCATGATGTTTGTTTACCTTTGGGTCTACGACGATGTCGCTGTTCTCTGTCTTTGACGATTTCTTCTCTTCTCCATATTTATCTGAAAACCAACAATAAAATTATTATTTTTTTATTAACGTGAAACTTTTCATCGTGCTAATCAAGTAATAGAATAAAGAAATTTTGTTTTTTTCATAGAGGGGACAAAATATAGCAAAATCTTCAATGTCAGTATTTTTGTGAAACAAAGAAATTGGAAAGTTCGTCCATCTAGGATTTTACGTGGACGCGTGCATGCATGCATGCATAATCCAAGGTTATGAGAAACACAAGCCATCTCTTCGTTTATTCCATTAATTCCAATTTTATATGATGTTTTTGTTGGATAATATATCAAAGCTTTTCATATAAAACATCATCTGATGATTTCTTTGCTAAAAAAGACGAAAAATGGATAATATACGATCAAATAATGATATAATAATGATATATTTCTACCTTTATGTTCGTCGTCATCAGAATCCGAAATATCAATACAGTAAACCTTGAAACTGGGTGACGCAGGGCATATCATTCTCTCATCGAAATTGCTCATTCTCCCTTCTATTTCTTCCTCCTCGTCTTCTTCCTCATGATGATCTCCATCAACATCATGACCATGACCATCATCACAACCGCCATGATCATCATAATCCCCATCATCCCTTTGCTCCTTCACAACCTCAATGACCTTCTCGACAACCTCCTCATAAACAACTTCCTCGTTATTAACCTCGTCATGATCTGAAGGTGCCGGAGCCACCTTCGCCGACCTCATGCTGCCGTCATGCTCCGTCTCTTCCCCATCCGAGCCACCGTGCTTGAGAAGTTCCTTCTTAGACAATGTTTGGTTGCCTCTCAACACGCTTGCGTGACTACGTTTCTTCATCTCTTCCAATCTCCGCCTCAAGAGCGGGCGGATGCGGGCCGAGACCTCGTCGCCTCCCGCATTTCCCATCCTTGAACCCCCACAACCCATTCTATTAATTGATGCGCTCTCGCCGTAACCTTGGAGATTCTTCTCTTTGGTTCGGCGGTCAGCAATCGTGATAGTTTAGGTTTTTTTTTTTTTTTTTTTTTTGTTCTGTGCGAAGAAGGATTCATGAATTTAAGGGTGATTTTAGTTTGTTGAGATGTGTTTGCTAAATTTGGTGATTTTGCTGTTGTCTTTTTCAGGCAAAAGAATGAGTTGTGTTTGGTCCTTATCTCTAAGTGTTTCTTCAAAAACATTAGACTTTTCCCTTTAGAAAACACGAAATATTCAGCTATGTTTTAATGGTCAATGCATGGTGACTTGTGTGATAATCTTTTCCCTTGATTTTTACTATTTTTCAGACAAGAACTTCTATTTTGGCCATGTGAAAAAAAAACCTATCTTTAGTTTTTTTTTTGTAATTATATTTTAAAAGAACCATCACCATTTTGTCAATATATATTAACACTGCGGAAATATAGTAATGATGTAAGATTTGGCTGACTCAGGATTTCATTATTGGTTTTGACTCTATCGTGTTGATATTTATAATAAAAATAGCCAAATTCACTCGCCGGGCTTGGCTAGGTTGGGCATTTAAACCCATTGCTCACGGGTTCATTACACCCGATTTCACGGGTTTCTGAAAAACGGGTACTCGATTTTGAACGAAAACAAAAACGGATTCGGGTTTCATTTTCTCAAAACGGATACCTATGAAAACCCATAAATATAAATACAGGGTTGTCTACGAAGGAATGCAAGTGAAGCATATGCACATAGCCCCCAATTTTTTAGGAATTGTTTTTAAAGATTATTTTTAAAATTCAATAAAATTTCAAAAAAAATAAAAACATTTATTATAAATTAAAAAAATTAAAAGATTAAATATGTAAAATTATAATAGATATTTTATATTGTAGAAACTATATTTTTATTTTCTAATTTTTAATCATTATATAATTTTAAAAATAAAGAAATTAGTATAAAAGAGTATTTTAAATCAAAAGTTTTATTAAAAAAAACTTGATTTTAGTTTGTATTATTCTTTAAAATAAAGTAATAATTGGTATGTTTTAAATTTTTTATTGGAATAAATGATATAATTTATTTTCTTCTATTCTTTGTTTTATTTTTATAGAGTTTGAAATTTTATATGTTAATTAGTATATTTTGAAAAAAATATTACATATTTTTGTAAAATTATTTATTATTTATTTTTTAATTTGATTTAGACTAACTATAAAAAATTTATGTTGATATTGTTAATTAGATTAAAAATTATATAAACAATAAATATTAATATATATAGTTATTTTAATATATATATATATATATATATATATTGAACATGGCCTATTAAATTTATGAGACGGCTCTATATAAATATATAATAAAGATAAAAATATCCCTAATTTTTTTTAAATTATTTATCAAATCTTATATGCAATTTCGCAAGTATGAAGCAGAGGTTAATGAGACAGCATGAACAATGAACAGATACACAATGTCGGGAAGCCAATTTGCAAAGATCCAACAACCAGAGAAGAGTATCGAAACAAAATGGGATATGGATCTTACATCCTTACATCTTGCAATCCTTCAAGAAGATGGATGTGTAGATACAACCATGAACTTTCTCAACTCCCCCAAATGAAATCACAAGTTTCTGAAGAAAAAAAAAATCCCAAAACGAGCCACGAAATCTCTCTATGGCTAAAGACCTTATGAAGCCTTGTCCATCCCGAGTTCTTCCAAACGTTTCCACGTGGCTTCACATCTTGCTTATGTTTCAGCTTCTTTCGATTCATCTTCCACGAACTTGGCAAGGCATTCCTTGAACAAGGTGGAATCCAGGTCGTGGAATATCTTCCTAACATTCAGCGTCAAGCTATGGACAGCCTGATTCCGAGCGTTTCTCTCCAGCGCCGGGAAAATAATAGGTAGAATGACCTTACGGTTTTGCATTATTAGACTCTCAATGTGATCGTTGTTCCATAAGAACAAGGCTCTTTCTGCAACCTGTAACAAATCCATTCACATGAGCAAGTATGGTATCGCCTATTAAGCCTACATTACCTACTCGGGTTATACGTTATCAGAGAGGATAACATATCAGCTAAGAACATAACATTTATATACACATGCATATTTCTATATACACACATGCGTGTATAGCTACTACATAGACTAAAGATTAGCCCATCAAGTGCCATGTAGAATTCAGGGCTACTCTCCCAAAACGTAGGGAATTTAAGATTTTCATACCATCCAAAATACAATGATTCCTAAAGAGTTCAACGAACATAGGCAGCACACGTAAAATAGTAGAGATTTGATAATTCACAATGAGAAACGTGTTCATCGGAACCTCCTCTGTATCCTTACCACGAATGCTAAAATATGAGTCATATAATAAGGAAAAGATTCGCCCTTTTTTGAAATTTTATACCTCGTAGATCTCAGTGTCTTAGATTTTTTATGTGCAATCTATGTAAATCACCCAACACCAAATACAAGAAAGAATCTACCTTATCTAATACTGTGCAGTAATACTCCAATTATCAGTTCCTAGACAGTTTTGGCTATGATGATTTCCAAGAAGCAAATGGCAAAACTAGTTAGGTAACAAATAGATTAAAAAAAATGTTTCTGTAAGGCAATATATGTATCAATGTCAATCTAAGTTTGAGATTTTGATACATTTTATCACAAATAAACTGAGGACGAGATCAAGCAATGAAGGTATGCTACCAACACGGGACCCCACAACTCTCTCGAGGAATGTCAAGGGAAAGCAAAGCATAGGCTTCAAGAAGAATAGAGAATAACCTTTACCTGAAAGTGTAAGTTGTTTAAACAGCGGGCTATTTGGTGAAACAATGGAACCATGCACCTTTGGAATTCTGGCGGCTGAGTTGCTTCTAATACTTCCTCCAACTCATTCAGGAACATGACTTCCTTAGAACTATTTATCACAAGCCAGTATTTCAACAGTCCCCTTATAACCATGTCAGCAAGTTTGTAATCCTTTTCCAAAAACTGTGTAATACAATAAGACAACTGCTGATGGTATGTTGCCAAACATTTCGGTTCATGGAGAGGTATCAAAACAAGTACAAGAAACACTTTGTGCTTTTCCTTCAACGGAACAGCAAAGCCATTGATAGTTCTTCCCATATATCCCATTATGCTTCTCTATCTTGAAAACAAACTGGTAGAAGATATTGTTTATGGATTTCCTGATGAAAGGGTGATGAACCATGAATTTTCCATAGATATGATGGAGAATGGTTTTCAGGCAATCTCTTTCTCTTGGATCCTCTGAGTCGAATAAATCCAACAACAACAGGATAAAAATTGATCTACATATCTCTTGGCCAACTTAGTGTCTGAGATAACAAATCTTAAGAAAAGCTCATACACAAGTTGCAAATGAGGCCATGCAGGATCCATGGAGGGCTCTTCCTCCTCCAAATCAAGTCCATCGATAACTTTGTTTTCACGAGGCTAAGGATTTAGGGTTCTGAATATGTTAGCGGAAACCATTTTAATGACCTCTTGGATAACATTTTCACTGAACTTCCCACTGTCAGAAGTCACATAATCCACCAGCTCCAACAATGTCTGCTTCTTAATCTCCTTTTCCTTGATACTCTTTGTTGGGTCAGTAAAATCAAACACTACAGAGCACAAGTACAACTTTCTTATGAATAAGCTCTGCTTTTCAGCATTTGGAACATCTTTAAAACTCGGCATGGCTTCATAAGGGGTGAAAGCACTGTTCGAACTGGCCTTTATGTTCCTATCTTTAAACATCTTATCAGAAGCAGATTTAACACCTGGAGTGTTCTTGGAATGTGAATTTTCTGATCTCCCATTACCATGATCGCTGCTTTTTGAAGTGGAGGCAGTGGTGGTTTGGGAAGAAGAATGACCCCGTGTTGTCGTCCACGTTGATCACTCTTGGAGTGCTTTTTTGAAAGCTTACTTAGAATATGTTTCCACATTGTTCATATATAACCTGAAACACCGTCGAGACCTCTATCTAAACCAGGGTTCAGATTCTCATATCATATCCGACAACCTAAGAAGAACAAAACACCATTGAGATTGTAATCTTCACATCAACCCAGATCAGCAGATAGACTATACACAAAATGAAATGAGGAACCTGAAATAGAGACAAATCCCAAGAACTTACCCCAATTATAACAACAAATCTCCCTCGCTCTCTTCCTTATTCGACACCTTCGGCACGTCGCCCACAGAAGTTATCTCCTCTCCGACCAGAACCCAATTAAAAAAATTTGAACTTTGTGCGATTTCCAATCCTGAGAAAATCGCACAAATGAAACACAAAGACAAACCATCAGAGAACGAAGAGCAGGGAGAATCGCGCATTGATTGCTCAACAGAAAACAAGAGAATTGTTGTCCAAATAGCCTAGACAAAACATGAAGGGTCAACAAGAAAGAAAAAAGACCCGGATGAAGAAGACGATGGCAATAATGACGATGATAAACAATATGAAAGATATTATTTGACTTACTAATCTCGTGAGTTTACATTGTCATATATACACTTAGAGATATACCAACTTTCCTAATTACAAGTGATATCAAATATACTCCAAGATATAATGTATATCGCCTATACGCCCCCGCAAGATGGAGGTTCGGGAGAGACTCCAATCTTGACGCATATGGTTTGAAACGGTCCATGAGAGAGAGGTTTGGTGAGAACGTCCGCTAGCTGATCTTTGGAACTGACGTGTGAAACTCGTAACGAGCCATCATTCACTTGATTACGCACAAAGTGATAGTCCAAAGCAAGATGTTTCATCCGGGAATGAAACACCGGGTTGGCACATAGATATGTTGCCCCGATATTATCACAAAAGATCATCGGAGTAGAAGATGAGGAGAACCCAAGCTCGGCAAGAAGAGAGGTAAGCCAACAAAGCTCTGCCGACGTATTCGCAATAGACCTATATATATTCAGCCTCAGTGGAAGAGCGAGAATGCCCGGATAGTTCCTTAGAGGACCATGAAACAGGATGCTTGCCCAGATAAACGATGTACGCTCCCGTGGATTTGAAATCCCCAGGATCAC